GCACAGGGGCTGTGCTGAACCTCCACATTGCCCTGGCTCACCAGTGCTGGGGGACACCGCCCCCAGAACGTGGTGGAGCAGGACGAGGGGACCATCCCAACCATCCACAGCAGCACAGGCCTGGAAGGCCCCAGCTGCACCCCAACCAACGCCAGGCCTCACTGCTGCCAGCTCCCTGCCCGCAAGGTGCAGCTCCAGCTCCACGTGCCGCTTCAGCCGCGGCTCCGTGATCCACTGCAGCACCCCATGGCTTGAGGCCCAGCACCGGGGGTGCTCCCTGGGCCCCTGCCCACAGCTGTGGAGACAGAGAGTAGGCAGGCCAAGGACGTCCCCCCTGTCACCCATGGACCCCCAGCAATGGGGGATTTGGCCCCCAATGCTCCTTCCCAGCTCTACCTCTCCAGCAGCCCTGTACGAGCACTCCCCTTCTCCTGGACCTGCAACCAAAGAGCACATTTGGAAGGTCTAGGGTTTAACCTGCACCAAGCCACACTGTAACCCACTGTCCCCACCTGCTCCCGGGAGCCCAAGGACAGCTCCCACCTTCCCAGCCCCTGCCCTGTCCAACCTTCTCCCCCTGCAGGCAGCAGCAGCTCTGGCTGTTGGGCACTGCCATGACCGGTGCCACGGGGACCCTGCAACTGCCCTCTCCACGGGCCACACCCACTGGATACCATGGCAGTAACGGCAGCCTGTTCCAGCGTTCCAGTTACTGGAATAGTGTCATCCTGGTTACCATAATAGCATCCCGGTTACTGTAACAGCATCCCAACTACCACAGCAGTAATGGCAGCATCCTGGCCACCATTAACAGCATCGTGGCTACGTTTGTAGCAGCACCTTGGAGGGACATAGCCCTGGCTCCAGCAGGGATGGCCTCCTGCAGTCAGAGGCTGGTGGCACGCATCCTGCTCAGGCTAAACTGTCATTTTATTAAACAGTAATTAAAAAGTGCCGAGGCCTGTGTGAGGTCTGTGCCCTCCACGCTGTGCCGCCCGTGCCACGGTGACGGGTGAGCTGCTGGCGCTGCCCTTGGCCTGGCAGACGCAGACTCAAGGTGGGGGCTGCAAGCTCTCGGCCCTGGAGGGTGGGCAGCTGCTGGCACACGAGGCGCTGGTGAGAGCGGGAGCAAACACCCCCTTGGCAGGACAGACGGGACACTTGACGCTGGTTTGTCCTTTCGAGACGTTCCCAAATGCCCAGTTGCAGTAGGAGTAGAAACTGCAGCCCGAAGCAGCAGCTTGGCTGCAGTGCTGAGAGCGGGCACCAAACTATTTACACCCCGGCTGGGCACACAGGGCTGACAGCAGGAACAACGGGGACATGGGGAGAATTGTTCACCCTTGAGAAAGGACACACACAGGTGGCTCCAGAGCCCAAGACCCCCACAGACAGAATGGACAGATGTCAGTTCCCACCAGCCGCTGCAGGGAAGGACGGGCAGAGGGGAGTGCTGGCTGGGATCCGTGTCTTTATAAATAAGATCAAGCTAATCAGTTTATTCACAGAGTCCAAGACGGTGCAGGACTCAAAGCCTGGAGTGTCACAAGCCTGTGGCAGAGGAGGCTGTGGGGCCAATCTCCTTGTGCTCAGCAGGCAGGTACACTGCTCTGGAATGGGCTTCTGGCGAGGGCCGAGTTCCAGCAGCTGGAACAGAGCCCCTGCTGTGTGATGACCTCCGATGTGGTGTGAGGGGCAGATCTGAGAGCGCAGCTGCTTCCTCCCAGTGCCACCTGCACAGCCACTGCACCAGGCCCCACGCGCTCACAGGGTGCTCTCCAGAGTGTTGTAGTTGTCCTTGAAGCTCTTCAGCTCCAGGAAGTGTTTGGCACGTTTGCTCTTCTGACTGGAAGGCAGGTAGGTGACCTGGATGGTGGCGGGGTTGGAGACTTCAGGGGACAGGGTGAGGTCCTTTGCTGCTGACTGGTGCTGCCGCTGGCTGCTGCCCCCCCGGGCCTTGGTGCTGCGGGCAGAGAAGAGGCACCGTCACCGCTGCCACCCCCCAGAGCAGCCGCTCAGCCGCGCGTCCGTCTGTCCGACATGGGGCAGCTCTGCCCTCGGGGTGACGGTGCTCACTGAGCTCTTCAAATCTAAGGCCAGTGGTCCTGCACAAAGCCCTGGCTCAAAGTGCCAGGGACAAGCAGGAATGTGGACTGGAGCACGGACATGGAACTAACCCAAAATTGCATTAACTGGCAGGTTGCAAGGAGGGAGTGAACCCAGGGCATGGATGGGCACAAACAGCCCCTGTCTCAGACACTGGATGTGCCCCCAAACCTGTCTCTGTTCACAACTCCCCCATGGGTCTGCTATGGCCCAGGACCCAACCACCGAGCACTTACATGTTCGCCAGCTCGTTCAGAGCTTCCTGGTACTTCAGATATTCTGCTTTCCCAAAGACCTGGACAAAAACAGAGAAGACCATGGAAAACCCAGGGGAAGTTACAGCGTGACCTGAGCTCCAGCAGCCAGCCCGGAGCACAGGAGCAGCCCCACACCGCCGAGGGGATGCAGCCAGGCTGGAGCATAGGAAGAAAAGGATGATGCCAGGCCACAGGAACAGGGGATGCAGCCAGGTGGGAGCACAGGGACACCCTGCAGGGCCAGCAATGCCACACCAGCACTCACCCCGGTGCCGTAGCGGGCACTCTCGTACCCATCCAGCAAGGTGTCGATCAAGGCTTTGCGGATGCCTTTGAAGGAGGCACTGGAATTCCGCAGTTCCAGCAGGTAGGCATAGAAGTTCTTCCCTATTAAAGACTTTGGGTACCGGCCCTCTGCTTGAAACGGGATTTCTGTAAAAAGGCCACGGCACAGCTGGCTGAAGCACGGGTGGAAATGTTTGGGTTCACCCCCACAGTCAGGAGCTGCTGGATGGATAAACTTCCCTCCACGCCTGCTGCCCCTGTTTGGTGGATGCCCCAGAGCACAGGGCAGGCTGACCTTGGGCCACTAGCTCTGGGTGGGAGAAGTGACTGCTACTCCCTAACGAGAAACTGCAGCCTCCCCACAGGGCTGCTGGCACCCTCATCTCCTCCACTCAGGGTTTCTCTGCACCCTCCTGCTCCGAGCTCCCTTACCTGATGTCCTGATTGCATCCAGCGCCTTCATCCTGTACAGGTAGTTACAGCAGCCTGGGAAAGGGGAAAGAACAAACTGAAAGCTCTGCTGGAGCTTGGAGGGAGGGGGGGAAAGGGAAAACAGGAGCAGAGACACCATCCTGTGTGACAGGACACCAACACGAACAGCCAAAGATGCAACTTGGCCCTGGGGGAACAACAACTGCAGGGCAGTACCTGTTGTCTCCAGCTGCAGGAGCCGGCCATCATCCTCAGCCAGCAGCCGTGGCTCGTACTTGATGTCCTGCACCCTTGACAGCCGAATGTCGATCTCCTCCTTTAAATCCTGCACAACAAGAAAAAAACCCCGACACATTCCCTTAGTCGGTGGGACCACAGTGATGAGAACGGGCCTTACACAAACTACTCCCTCCCCGCTGCTCCTCGGCGGTGGCGGCTCTGCCGCTGGAGCAGACCCTGCCCGTCCCTCAGGGGGCAGGGGATGGAGGGACCCACCTTGGGCGCGTGCTGTCCCACGGGCACGTGGGGGCCGCGGCGGGACTTCATGGCGAAGCGCATGATCTGTCGCTTCACGAAGATGAACAGCAGCACGAACACCTGCGGAGCCGCAGCGGGGCGGGGGGTCAGGCACGGGGCGGGGGTCTCACAGACAGCACATCCCCACCGATTCCCTCTTCTCAGCCCTCCAACGCCAGCGAGCGCGAGGGTCCCGCTTCAGTGCCCCGGGAGCCTCACGGACACCCGGCCGGGCCCCCACACACCCCCAACCTCCCCCCGCCCTACCGACGCCAGGAGCCCACGGGCGGTCCAGCCCAGGCCCCTGAGGACCCCGAGCCAGGCTCCGGGGGGTTCCCCACGAACAACTCGGGACCTCCCTCACGGGCGCGTCACGGACTCCACGGGAGCGCCGCGGACGCGCCGGGAGCGGCCTCACCGGGGCCGCACGGCCCGGCTCCGCAGACACGCCCGGGCCGCCCCGCACGGACACGCCAGCCCCGCGCCGGCCCCGGCCCGCCCCACCGGCCCTCACCAGGCTGCCGTAGGCCATGACCAGCACGACGTTGACCCCCGAGAGCCAGTTGCTGCCGGCCCCCGCCATGCCCGGCCCGCGCAGGGGCCGCACAACATGGCGACCGCCAGCCCCCCCCAGCGCCCCGCGCCACGTGACCCGGGCGAGGGGGCGGGGCCAGGAGGGAGCCGCGGTCACGTGTGCCCCGCGCGGCGCCAGCGCAGCGCGCGCGGCCCCTCCCCGCGCGGTCACGTGCCGGGGGCGGGGCCGGGGGAGTTATCAGTGCGGGCGGACCCAGGTAAAGTTGCGGCGGCGGCGGCTCCGGTACCGCGCGGCCCCCGAACCCGCCCCCTCCCGCGGGGCTGCGCCCTCACCACCACCGCCGCCACGGCCCGCCCGGCCCCTCCGCCGCCACCGCCGCCCCGCGGCCCGCCCGGCCCCGCCGCGCCCCGGGGGCGGCCCCGCGCCCCGGCGCCGCCGCTGGGCCCCGCGCGGCCTAGTGGGCCGGGCCGCGGCCGGGGCTGGCGTATCGCACGCGGCCGCCGCAGGTGAGGCGGGCGGGCGGGCCGGGTGCGGGCGGGCGGCGCGGGGGAGGGGGGGGTGAAATGGCGGCCGCGGCCATGAGGGCGGAAGCGGCCCGAACTCGCCCGCCTCCCTGGTGCGGGCCCGGCCTGGCGCCGCCGCGGGGGCTCCCGCCCGGGCCCCGCCGGCGCCCTCCGGTTCGCTCCGGCCGCTCGGCCCCCGTTGTGAGCCGCGGGGTCGGGCGGCTCCGGGCTCTGCCGCGCTCCCGCGGCCCGCCCGGCCCCGCCGCTGCCGGCGGTAACAATGGGAGCCGCGCTCCCGCCCCGCCGGGCTCCTCGCGGGCCGCCGGGCCCGCTGCCGGCACCGCTCCTCGGTGGCGCCCCGGGGGCCGTGGCCGAGGTGGGTCCCGCGGCCCACGGGAAATCCCCGGGCGACACCGGTCCGGGGGTCCTGGGGGAGCCCCGGCCCGCGAGCTCGGCCCCCCCCCTCTCCAGGTCCCTCCATCCCGGTCGGGGTGCTCTGCCTGCGCCCTCCGACCGGAGGGTCTCCCCGGTAAAGCGCTGCCCATCGGTACCACCACGGGGTCTTTGATGGCGTATCCCGGGGCATCTCCCCAAAAGTTCGTGCTGTGCACGCGCGGGGTGACTCGCTCTGCAGCTGCCATGTCTTTGCTCCGGGGAAAAAAAACTCTCACACCGATAACCTTTTGGGTGCTTGTTCTGCCTCACAGTGTGGGGAAATCTTTCGAAATGCTATTTGTTCTCTATGGTCCTTTTCTTTGGAGCTTCAGAGCCTTCTGAACTTGTTAATTAAGCGTTGTTGGAATGGGCTGGAAATACCAATTTTTCTGTATTTAACAGATAAGGGAAACTGAGGCTGGGATGTGCCAGGACTCGCCCAGCGGCAGCCAGCAGATCTGGCGCAGCCATGGCACCCGCAGATCCCGGTTCTGAAACTGTAACTTACCTGATGTTTCTAATAAAATGAACAGTTTGTTACATTTTTGTATCCCCTCTTCTTCTGGAGACTCCACACTTCGCTTGTGTAGCTGAGACTCCCCTCCCTAGACCTGACAGGCGGGCAATGGTGCGGTCTGAGAAGGAAAAGGGGTAATGGCCCAGCATGTCACGTTTGATGCAGTGTCTTTGAGTAGAGGGTGTTGTGGCCTGTAGTTTTGTTTTCCCTGAGCCCCGTTGACCTGTAGCTACCCCCTTTAAGAGCCAGTGCTCTGGTGTGGACTGGCTTTTGCTTTTGGTGAGGACAGCTCCAAACTGGGAACTCTCTGTGCAGGCGTTGGGATAACCATGTTCTGTGAGTCAGTGCTGCCCTTAAGCCAGGCTCAGGTTCCCCCACTGAGGAATAAGTTACCAGAGCCAAGTTCTCTTTCCTCGAGGCAGCTGTGGGGTCTGTGTGGGGGCACTCCCTCACCCGGCAGCCTCGGCAGGGTCAGGGCCTGGCTGAGGTTTCTGTCGTAGATGTTTTTCTTCTGGGTTTTTTGCACGTTAGAGGACCCAAACGCTGGCGTTACTGGTGGCAGTGATGGCAGCTGGGCAGAGCAGAGCGTGGCGGCTGCTGAACAAAATGCCTGGGTGCTGCACAAGGTTTGAACTCGGCCTGCTGGAGCTGTGGCCCAGGGGAGCTGCAGGTTGGGTTCCTGTGGACATGCTTCCCTCTGGGCCCGCGGTTCTGCTGCCAGGTTGGTTTAATGTGACAAACTGTGCGTGGAACTTGAAGCTGGAGGAGACATAGCAGTGGTGAGCAAAAATAAATAATGTGGGGAAGAAGCCTGTGAGGAGGGGGTGGCTGGGGGCTGTCTGCTTCCCCCTCGGGGTGCTCTTCCCCCACACCTTGGGGTCTCCTGGTGGCCGCACAGGTTGCTTGGATCATTTCCTGATAAGAGACCTTGGCACTGTGTAGTAGGAAAACTGTCTTATTAGGTTGCCATAAGGTGTGGGTGACCACAAAGGGGGGACTTCAGGGGTTTTGTGGGGAACTGTGGGAGCAATGGCCCAAAATCTTGCCTATGGAGAAAGGCTGGGCACAGGTGGGAGCAGGCACGGTGGGTATGCGTCCAGTGCAAGGCAATAGTGGGGTCTCCCTGCTCTCAGGAACCATTTCTCACTCAGTTGGGTATTTGTAGACTTCCGCAGGAGATTCCCCAGTGTTTCCTGGGCTGTTTGCTAATGCTGCTGCTGAGCCTCCCTGCCTGGCACACGGGGTCTCTCCCTGTGCTGCCCTGCCCGCGTGCACAGGACGGATTGTCCCGCTCAGCTTTCCTCCCTGCTGTCACGCTCCATCCATGGCTCCTTCCCCTGTCCCAGGCGCCTGGAGCAGGCCCTGCTGCTTTGGGGGAAGGCTTCTCGCTCTTGGTATTGAAATACAAAACTGTGGGTTCTGCAATTATTGAGATTTTGGGGGCTTGGAAGTTGTGAGTCCTGCCAAATGCCGTGGGATGTCTCTGGCATCCCTTGTGCCTGGAAGGCTCTAGGCAGGGTAAAAGACTCAATGCCAATCCCCTTCTAAACCACCTCCCCTAACCCCCAGCTTGGGCTCTGCCCTGAGGCCCAGGGTGAGGTTAGAAAACTCCACTTGCTTTGGATGCTGTTGGCCTGAACTCTTCCTGGGATTTTTTGCCTCAAGCAGTTATCTAATGATGTTACTGGCTGTTCCTTGCTGACATCTAGTTCACTTTTTGGGTATGTTTTTAATCCAGAATACTCAGAACAAGCAAACTTAATATTTCCAGTTTTGGGGAATAACTGAAGTATGCAAAAATAGGCAGTTCTGCAAGGGTGGGTTTTCTTTTAAAAAAAAATAATTCCATAGACCTGTAGCACCACTTATTCTTGGAGTGCTTTTGCTTTCCCTGCTGTGCTTTGAAGGCAAGAAAGGAGAAGGGGAAGTGGTTGATGTGTCTGAGGCTCTGAGATGCTCTGTTCTCCAAGTGAATTTTCTTTGGTGCTTTCTTCAAGCACTCCTGCTCCGTTTGATGGCCACAACCTCAACATGAGCTCGTGGCAAAGCCATGCCCATTCACACATGTGTTTCAACAGCAACTCGTTAAACCCTTTGTCCCAAGTCCAGGGAACGACTTCAAACTGAAGGAGGGTTGATCTAGGTTAGCAAAGGAAGAGGGTTTTTTACAGTGGGTGGGCAGGCCCTGGCACAGGTTGCCCAGAGAAGCTGTGGCTGCCCCATCCCTGGAAGTGTCTGAGGGCAGGCTGGACGGGGCTTGGAGCAACCTGGGCTAGTGGAAGGTGTCCCTGCCTGTGGCAGGAGGGTGGGACTGGATGAGCTTTAAGGTGCCTTTCAACCCAAACCACTCTTGACTCTATGATTCTATTCCTGCTCCTGAGGCCCGATTGCTCCCACCTGGATGCAGGAAATGTTTCATTTGGAACACTCTGCCGTAGAATTGGCAGGGAAACCTCAAGAAGTGCAAGTGGCTGTTTTGTGCTGGGAGCACACGGTGATGGCAGCCTGGCCTGCCGTGGTTTTAGGGAAGTGGTGGGGAGGGTGGGGACCCGGGACGGGTGTTCTGACTGTGTTGCCCATATAATTGTTCAGTCCTGGTGCTGCCTTTTGGTTTTGGTTTCTAACAGTCTGTTCTCTCTTCTCCCCTGACCCACCACAGAGTTCTACCTTGTAAATACTGTTATTTGTATATACTGTAAATGATGACATCGGTGGGCACTAACCGAACCCGGGGGAACTGGGAGCAGACACAGACACAGAGCCAGACGCAGCACAAGCAGCGGCCGCAGGTAAGGGCAGTATCCATGGTAACCAGGTAGCTTGGAGGTGGAGACCTGGCTCTCCTGCTTGGGCTGGTGCTGATGGCTGGTTCGCCTCAGGACTCCCAGAGCCAGGTTAACTGGGCAGCCACTGATGCTGGTGTTTCTGTGGCGGTGTCTCTGAGTGGGACCCGGCGCTCAGGTTTGGTTTTGTTTCCATCTGACCATTCCCTTCTCGCTTTACTGAATGCAAGTGGTTGAGGAGCTGCCCGCAGTGGGTCTTGGTGGTAAGGTTTGCCCCAAAACAGAAGTGGTTCAGGTGTCATAAGGCCAACCAGCAGTGCAGCCCTTTCTTTCAGACTCCCTTTGTTCCTTTTTCATGTCGCTTTCCCCCTGGATTTGTCCTTTTCTGACCCTTGTTTGCACCTTCTCTTTACCATGCTGATTCCTTTCCAGAGCTTAGGGAAGTGGAATGGCCTTTGGAGGACAGTTTGGAAATGGGCTGCTCTGACCATGCTCTCTCTCTCCATCTGATTTCTTTAGGCCACTGCGGAACAGATTCGACTTGCACAGATGATTTCGGACCACAATGATGCTGACTTTGAGGAGAAGGTGAAACAAGTGAGTGTGGGAAGTGAAAATGAACCCTGACAGGGAGGCAAGCTCAATATTGGGAGGACTGTGAATGCTGGGGGGATGGGAGGGACATGTCTGTCTGCTCCCTGAATCTCCTTGGACTGGCTTCATTGAGCTATATCATGGAATGGTTTGGGTCAGAAGGGACCTTAAAGATTATCCAGTTCTACCTTCATACCATAGGGACACCTTCCATTAGACTAGGTTGCTTCAAACCCAATCCAACCTGGCCTTGGACACTTCCAGGGATTCCAGGGGCAGCCACAGCTTCTCTGGGCAACCTGTGCCAGGGCCTCACCACCCTCACAGGGAAGAATTCCTTCCCAATATCCAACCTACCTCTGTTCTCTGGCAGTGGGAAACCATTTCCCCTTGTCCTGTCATTCCAGGCCCTTGTCCAAAGTCCCTCTCCAGCTCTCTTAGAGCCCCTTTAGGCACTGGAAGGGGCTCCAAGGTCTCCCTGGACCTTCTCCAGGTGAACACCCCCAGCTCTCCCAGGCTGTCTCCAGAGCAGAGGGGCTCCAGCCCTTGGAGCGTCTCTGTGGCCTCCTCTGGACCTGCTCCAGCAGCTCCAGGTCCTTGCTGTGCTGGGGGGCTCCAGAGCTGGAGGCAGCTCTGCAGGGGGGTCTCACCAGAGCAAAGCAGAGGGGCAGAATCCTCCCCTCAGGTGCTACCCACACTGTGGGGATGAGCCTGGGACAGAGCTGGCTTTCTGGGCTCCCAGTGCACGTGGCCAGGTCATGTTAACCCACACCCTTGAGTCCTTCTCCTCAGTTCTGCTCTCCATCCGTTCCTCTCCACCTTGTGTTTGTGCTTGGGGTTGCTCCAGTGCAGGAACAGCACCTTTTGCCTTGCTGAATTTCGGGTTTGTTCCCACAGGTGACAGTGTGGTCCTGAGAAAAGGGGGTTATAGGCTGGGTCACGGTGAAACAATGGTATCTCAGAAATTCACACCCTCAGTTACTCCTCATTGAGGGACAGTTAAGCTGAGAAGGCTGGGGAGAATCCCAAGCCCTGAATTTTTTTTTTTTTTTAAGGATTTCTGGTTTGGGATTCAACTTGCCTCCTGAGAGACCCATAGAGATTCTGGTGCCATCTTAGTTTGGAACATGTTGACTGTGGTGTTGTCTTCTTCACAGCTGATTGACATCACAGGCAAGAACCAGGACGAGTGTGTGATTGCTCTGCATGACTGCAATGGGGATGTCAACAGAGCCATCAATGTGCTGCTGGAGGGCAATCCGGACACGGTAGGACTGGGGCCTGTAAATCTGGTGAGGCCTAGCTCATATTTGCAGGTGAGGCATCCAGTGTGTCAAGATGAGGAGAGCCACAATGACTGACTAGTCAGGAGTGTGCAAAGCACGACTGTGACCTGACTGCTGGACGCTGCTCCCCGTGGGCTTGCACAGACTGTGAGCTTGGCCCTGGGCTGGAAGGGATAGAGGGGGAAATGCAGTAAGTCATTTCCTTCCCGTTCATTTTGAATCCAAGCAGTTTGACAACAGTGCAGTGGCATCTGTAGGTGCTTTCACACCACTGAGTGTGAAGGAACTTACCTTTCCCCACCAGGGCTGAGTGACCTGTGTTGAAAGGCAGGTGTGTGTCAGCTGTGGTTCCTTTCTGTCAGAGTAACATAGTTTTTTTGTCTCTAGCCCTAAACACTTCTCAGCAATGTCCTGACCACTTTGTTTGCTGCTGTCCATGCCACGGTTTTGAGGGTCTTTTTTGCTGTTTGTTTTCTGTGGAGTTGGGCTTGGCTGCTGCCCCTCACACAGGTGCCTCTCTCAGGCAAACTGAGGTCAGCTCCGAGAACAAGGGAGGGCTTGTTTAAGAGGAACCTTCTGCCTGTGTGGGGGGTGTCATTCATTTTGTGATACAGATAGCAGATTTGCAAGTTCTCTTCTTACAGCCCAGGAGAAAACCTATGAGTATCAGATCCTCCTAAACTGCCGCTGATCACGGGTATCCTCCTGGCACCCTGGTTTGGCTGGAGCCAACTCAACTCTCCGTAGAGTTAAGGCTCTAAATATCATTTCTCAATATTATCTGTTGGCTCATTTTCTCCCCCATGATGAACCCTTGAGGGCAGGTGGGTGGGCTGGATGCCCCAGACTATGTTGTGTGTACTGCAGTTGCTCCCCAGTGTCAGGTGCTCTGCTTTGGCAGTGGCCAAGTTCCATACAGTGCACGTACCCATTCCTCCTTGTCTTCAGAGAGCCCTTGCCACTGATGACTGATCAAAAGACCTATTAGAAAAGCTTTTTAGAAAGGGGAGTAATATGGATGTGCATTACAGAGGCACAGTTCTGCCATGATTGTATTTTTCTCCAGATCTCTTGTAACCAGTGACTTCTAGTCAGCAGCACCAGGTGTGCAGGGCAGGGTGTGGAGAGGTAGGCAGGGAGCTGGTGGAGGAAGCCTTAGGCTGCCACTGCTCCAGCAACCCTGTGGCCCTGCAGCTGCCACGTCGCTGAGCACAGGCAGCCCCTGCAATGCCATTGATCAAGTGTCTTGGAGCTGCTTCTGGCCTGGATTCACCTTGTGCAGCAATCCTGGAAAGGGGATTTTTGGATAGGAAACAGCCCTGCTAATTGCCTGGGTGCACTGGTGCTGATGAGGACAGCTCACCTGCTGAGCTAGTTACTGGTAATGTATTTGAAACAGTGAAGGAACAGGCGTGACCTTAGAATTGGGTTCGATGTGGTGCCAAGTAAACATTTCCCAAGCAAACATTTTTGTAAGTTTTCTTTGGAGCAAGATACCTGTGGAGAGAGACTTCGGGAGCCTTGGGTTTGATGGCAGTTTGTGCCATTATGTTGTTGGGTGTTTTGTCATTGTCCCTGCATGCTGCCATCCAAAAGCAACTGTTGACTTGCCTGCCAGTTGTGTTTTCAGGTGATTGTCACTGACTTGTGACTATTTTTAATTGTTTCACCAGCGTGCAGCATCAGTTTAAGAGTGTGAAACCACTGCAGACTGTCATAAAATAAATGGGTGCAGGCCCATGGCAGTGAGCTGGAGGCACACTTAACTTTTTACAGTTGAACTTGGGGATGAGTTGAATTGTTGGATAAATTCTGTGATGCTTCTCTCCATCTGAGCTGCTATTTAGGGAGGGGTTTCGTTAATGACTCTGCATGTGAGAGAAGAACTGACTCCAAAATGTTGACTGCAGAGCACTATGGAACATTTACCTGAGTTATTCTGAGAGCTCTTGGTCATCTGTGTGAAATGGCAGGTTTTTTTCCCCTAAACAAGGTAAATTTATCCATGCTTTGAACTCTGGAAGTATCATGCCCTCTCTATTGAAGAATTTTAGTGCAGAAATAGAATAAGTCATCTCCTGTTACTTCAAACTGCACGCCAGTCAGTTGTGAGAAAGCTTGCCTTGAAGGAAGGAGCTGTGCTGTGTGCAGTCTGAGAGACTCCTCAAATAAAAAATTGGTCTGGAAACCATTTCTTCAGAGACCCTTGTTGTGTACTCTGTAGCACGTTTAAATCTCTGTGTATTTGCGTCTTGCATTGATCAAACCATGATTCATTTCTTTCCCCTCTGCAAACCTTCAGCATTCCTGGGAGATGGTCGGGAAGAAGAAGGGTGTCTCAGGACAGAAGGAGAGCGGACAGACAGAGCCCAGTGAGGAGAGCAAAGAAAACCGGGAGCGGGAGCGGGATTTCAGCAGACGACGTGGCGGGCCACCGAGGCGGGGGCGAGGTGCCAGCCGTGGAAGAGAGTGTACGGACCTGCCCTTTCATAGCCCCCAAAACTCTCCCCCTGAAGCACTTAGTGCTGTGTAACAGCTGTCTGTAAAGCTTCCCAAGCAGACACGTCTGTGAGGAAAACCACTCGTGTGTGTGTGTATCTGATGTGCCCCTCACCGGGATATCCTCACCGCCATCAGATTAAATCAAAAGTTCTGGGAGCCTGTGGTGACGTGGTCCCCCTTGCACTTTGGGGTTTGAGGTCTGGTCTTGTATCCCTGCTAAAGCAGGATGAGTCTTGAAATTGTCTTTTGCGTTGTTCTGTCTTTCAGTTCGGGGCCAGGAGAACGGACTAGATGGTGGGAAGAGTGGAGGATCTTCTGGAAGAGGCACGGAAAGAGGGAGGCGGGGACGTGGCCGAGGCCGAGGTACACATGGGGTTTGGGGCCCGAGGGATTGGGAGGAGAAGAATGGCAGCAGGATATCTATTTCCCATGAGGTTCCAAAGCCTGTTTCATGGGAGGGATTGCCAAACTGAAAATACACGCTTAATTTTTCTGTCCTCGTGCTTAACCTTAGTGTCTACACGTTGCTTCCCCATCTTAAGCATACTAGAAACACCACCTAGTTCTTGCATCCCATCTGTGGAGTTAGAACAAAAATTGAGCTTTATTACAGAGGTGGGAAGTTAAAAAACCCAAGATGACTATTTGGTAGGTGGGACAATGGCTTGTTAGCAACAGAACCTGCATCCTTGTTCTTACGTGTGTCTCTGAGCACCATCACTGGCTTGGGCTTTAAATACTTGGTGTAGAAATTAATTTTTCCACAAAATCTACTGCTCAGAAATTGTTGCTGAGGTCGCACCCTGCAGAAATCAGAACCTGGGATACAGTACTTACGGTTTGTGCCAGCTGGAAACCTCATCTGAGCCTGGAATCATGCATTGCTAATCATGCTGCCAGCCAGCTGAGGTCATTCCCATCTATCTAAAGACACTGCTGGAAATGCCATCAACTCAGGAAGATCCTCTCCACTTTCACATTCTGGGCATCAGAACTCCATATGTTGTTCAAGTGTTTCTTTTTCCAGTGACACAGAGCCAAGAGATGCTCAGAAGTGTCTGTGTATTTACAGGTGGCTCTGGACGGCGAGGTGGAAGATTTTCTGCCCAAGGCATGGGGTAAGTTTCACTGGCACAAACCACGGCAAAGATAAGTCTGTGCGTGAATAGTACTGTTTGTGTCAGCCATTTGTGTTCCCATTTTCTTTCTTTTTGTTAATAAGGCCCGAACTGCATCATGCTAACTTAAATTTGGGATGGCTACCATAGCTGAAGCATCCCTCTGCTGACAGAACTACCCTGTGAGACTCTGAGATGTTTCATGGTCTGAATAAAATCAGCTGCTTTCACAGTGTTTAGCCAGAGAGGGAGTGAACGTTTCCATCCTTGTGTTTCTTACAGAACTTTCAACCCTGCTGACTACGCTGAGCCAGCCAGCACGGATGAGAACTACGGGAATAGCAACAACAACACATGGAACAACACTGGGAGCTTTGAGCCGGACGATGGCACAAGTAAGTGTCAAGCACACACGTGCCAGTTTGTGTTGAGAGGGTGAGTGGATTTTGCATCCATCCAGTTGCAACTGAGGAGGTTCTGGGCAGGCCTTAGGCTCAGGGATGGAGGAATGGGTTGTTAGTCCAGAGATGAATTTCGGTGACCCTAATTCTTCGCACATGTTTGGGTGATTGCCCTGGAAATGGGGAGATGGATGATTGCTGTGGGGTGCACGGCAGAGGCACAGGAACACTCACCTCTGTTTTCCAGTAGAAACCGTGCTACTGTTTGGAAAAGTGGTATTTACAGGTCCAAGTTCTCCTGATGTTAGGTGCATCCTCCAGAGAATATTTCTTGCTGTCAGATGTCTTGCTCTTGAATTTGGTACTGGGAGCATTCTCTCTTTCATGATCGTCTTACTCAAACTGCGGTGGGGCGAGACTTTGTTACAGAAACAAGCTGAAAGGAATCCGTCCTCCTTCCCTTTCTGAAGCCAGCACGTGTTCGGTGGGCGGTTCTGAACACCCAGCTGCCCCTGCACGTTCTGCACTGGAAAACTGGTGGTGCCCTGGGGTTTGTTTCACATACACACAGGGTTGTCAGATACAGCAGACTCAGAGTTTGCAGTGTGAGGATGGGGCAGTTGCAGGGGACAGTCCTTGACCATGTTGTGGAGTGAATTTCAGAGTGGTGGTTTAGTTGGCTTTTTTATGGAGCAATCTTGCACCACTGTGAAGTCAAACTGGTTTTCCACAATTTCTGAGTATTCAAGTAAATACCACGTACTTGGGTGTTAAGAAGCATTCACACCTGTGTTGAGGGTGCTTTTGGCCACCTCCATATTGCATGCATTAGCTGAAAAACTGATAGCTTTGGAAAGAGAGAATTAAAATCCTGTAAACTGGGATACCTTTACTGACCATGGCTAGTGCTGGGGAGGGGGTGGGAGCTTGTTTTTGTGTATTTTGGTGGGGTTTGTTTGGGTTTTGGTTTTTTGTCTGTTTTTTTTCCCCACAAAATTGAGAGCTGTGGTAAGGGAGGGAAAATAAGCCTGTTTTTTGTAAAACGCCAGCAGATTGAGTGATCATCTTGGCAGTTGAAAAAGGGTTTTAAACACCGGAGGGAATAGTGTGGGCATTTGTTAAGGGCAGTGGGAGCACTTGGCTCTGCAGGAAAAGGGATGGGACTGGACAAGCTCTACATGCTGGAAGTTTAACTGTCTAGTGGGAACAGGCTTCTGTGTGCATGGTTTTGTTTTTTCTTTTTTCCTGTGTTGATGTTTTGTGGAATTGTGGAACAAAGTGGATTAGAGTATGGTTGGGGGGAATCGAAGATTTTTCTGACAGAACAAGTCAAATTTGCTCTAGTACTACAGTGCAGCTGTAAATTTATCATGCAACACCGCTGGTCACCTGTGTGCATGGTCATTTTTTTTCCAATTTAGTAGCCACAGGCATCTCTTTAAATTAACAATATCCACAGGTACGATGTGACTGGTGTATGTGGGGGCAATGAAACTCACCTTCACTTCTTTAACTCAAAATTTCACTGGTTGTCTTTCTTTTCTTTTTGTTTTGTTTCAGGACTTGATTTCATTGGGGGTGAGGGGTCAAATTATCCCCGAAAATTTGACACTGCTCCTGGTACGATACATCCAGGCGCACTAACTGCCCCGGATACCTTTACTTTACAGCTTTTTTTAAAAAAAACCTGAAATATCTGTGGATATGTAATTCTTCTCTCTCTTAATTTGTTCATTTTAATGAATACTTGACATTTGTTCTGACTGTGCTTTTACTAATGCTGACACCTTGAATGTGAATTGGGAGAGGCTAACCCCAACTCCAAATTTTAGCTTCGGCCACTGCTTCTTGGTGCCCAGAGCAGCTCCGTGTCCACAGTGCTGGTGACAGAGCATCCCACCCGAGGGCAGGAGGCTGGAGGCAGCTCAGTCGTATTCCCTTTGTCTTGCATCCTGAAAAGCTGTGACTTGCTGTTGCCCCTCTGCCATTCCTGCAGCCTCCCTGCTGTTCCTGCTCGAGGTCACAACTGCTGCAAGGGGAATGGGTCTGGTTAAACTCTCTCCATGCTTTGCCTCTGCTCACAGCCACTGCTGGGTGAGCAGTGCCAGTGGCTGCTCTGGCATGTTCCTGCTGCTTCTCCTCACCTCCCTGCAGCTGAAGATGATGGTGGATTTTGAGGTGACAGGGATGCTTGATGTTAAAGCTTCTCAGGGCCTGGCCACTTTATTTCCTGCTCTTGCACCTTTATGCTTTATGAAGCCAAGAGACACCCATAAGATGACCCAGTTTGCTGAATCCCATTGGTGTCCATAACAAGGCCAACATCATGTTTGACTGTCTCCTCCATCTAACCTGAGGTCTTGAAGTTGAGGCTAAAGAACCTTCCAGAGGAGCTTGCCACTTGACTCTTGAAGGTCAGGGCAGGAGGAGTGTTGAGGCTGAGGAGTCTCTTTTGCAGGGGCCCAACTGGCAGGCAGACAGTGTCTCTTGGTCCTCACCTCAGGATTAATCTTTAACTCCCACAGGCAGCACAAGGCCATCTGCTCCAGAGCTGCCATTGTGGTTTTGCTGCCCTTTGGCTTTGTTTGGATTTACATTCCTTTGAGGTGCAGACTGGGGGCCTTTGAGTCTGTTGCTCTTCCAGACTGAGGCAACAACAGGCCTGTATCTGGTTCTTGAGAGGCAGCAGACTGCCTGATGGGCTGTGGGAGGAGCAGGTGGGGTGCTTATCTCCCAGTTGGAAATGAAGAGACTGTTTGAGGAGGGATGTGGACATCTCAGAGACACAATGGTATTTTTTTCCTTTGCCACAATCACATTAGCCAACATGATATTGGCTTAATTGTGTTTTTTACTCTCTTCCTGGTTTGAGAACCTTAAAGACCAGCAGCTCTTTGAAGAGCTTTCTGAAAGCAGAGAGGAGGGCTCGCTGTTCAGAAGACAACTCCTCTGAAATGGTGCCAGAAGGGTCAGAGTATTGCTTTGTTGCAGTTGTCCCCTTCAGAAGAGCCTGATGGAGAGCAACACACTTGGTTTCTTTAAAAAAACTTGCCACTCTGTGCTGGTTGGGAGCTTTCTGGAGCATTCCTGGTGAATGCCTGGCTGTACATGGCAGGTCTTTGTTTTTCCATCTGCCCCTTTGTATGCAGGGAGCACAGGCTGTGCTGAGTTGGTGTCCAGTACTGGAATAGACTTGCTGGGAAAGCCCCATCCATGGCTGCTCTTCATCTGCAGGGTTTCCTTCTGCTTTTTGTGTTGCTTTGCTTTTCTTCTCATTTTCCCCAAACAAGCAAGACTTAAGAGCTCTGTGCTGTGCTCCTGCATGCACAAAGTCTTCTTGGGGCAGCTCTCTTGGCTTCCTGCTCTGTTGGCCACCTGCAGGTACATCCAGCTCCCATTCCACCTCTTGGGTAAGGTTTGAGCTGGAAGGATCTTCCTGATCCATGAAAATCTGGAAAACAACCTTCCTGCTCCTGCTGTGAGGGCACAGAAAATCTGAGGAATGGGGGAATCTGGGTTTTTAAACCCCAGATGTGTTTTGCATTGAATGTGTTGAACTCCTGATGCTTCTGGCTGGGAAGGCAGGGGTAGACTAGCATGTCTTGAGGTTCCTGGCACTCTGGGAAGTCATATTTTATTAGTATCTGTATTTCAAACTTGAATATAAAAGAAAATAAATCCTGGAAGGCTTCTTGAATTGGCTCAACTTGTCAAGCAAAACAAAACAACAATGAAAAAATAATAACTCACTGATAAATACTTATTTCTTGCATTAAATTCCCCATTTCTAGACAGGGAGTTGTTTAAATATACAATTAAAGTGTGTCCTGCAGAAGAATCCACAATGTTCTGCTTCCCCACATGCTATGTTTTATGCTCTAAAAGGCTTTCAGCTTATAAAAAGGCTGATGCCAACTTGTTCCGTCCCTGGAAGTGTCTCCAAGATTAACCCTGTTGGCCCTGTCATGCTTTGTTGGTCTGGTTCACGTGGACTGGAAACAAGCTGTGCAAAACAGGGCTGGCTTTATGCTCTGAGGTTTTTGCAGATGTGAAATCTCCTGCTCTCCTCCCAACCCAAATTTCAGTTGTTAAATGGATTCAGAAGTTGCCACATAATGTTTGAAGGACAGAGGTTAAACTCTGTGATGGAAGTGAGGGTCGGAACAAGTTGAAGATGCAGCCAGGCAAAACTCTTTTTATTTTCCGGTACATCTTGCTCTCTTAAATTGTGCTGTGGATTGTGGCTGAGGTCTCCAGCTTTTCTCCCTGATGCTTTGAGCGTATCTCTGCAGCTGGTCACAGAAAATGCAGGAATTGCTTAGTCCCTCAGATTTTCCCCTCTGAATCCCATTTGCCTCAGGAGGTCCTGGGGCACTGAGGTTTCAAGACTTTTTTTGGCTGGGGGGAGAAGATGAATCACGGGAATGGCTCGGTTTTCCCTAGGTTTTATAGAAATTTAAGGTTTACCTGGGTGGTGAGATCCTGTGCCAGAGCTGGCAGGAACCCGTGAGGGAGGTGCTCTGTCCAAGCTGCTGGGGTGACACCGACTGCTCCCAGGTGCACAAAGCTGTAGCTCCTGCAGTACAAGGGGAAGTCAGGAAAACAGCACAAGGAGGCTGGGGATGGTGCTGGGGCTTCCTTGCTAAGCTCAGCTCCCCTGTTGGGTGTTGGGAGGTGTGTGTTGCCCTGTCTGCCAGCCCAGCAGTCCCTCTCTTTCAGCTCAGCCTGTGGCAGCAAGGCAGAGGTGACCCTGTCGTGGTACCTTGCCCAGGAAGCGTGGGTTGGGGTCAGCTGCTTTAACTTGCTTGGTTGGCAAATAGAAATCCTCCTGGCTACCTGCAAAGCTCCCCAGTGCTTCACCAGCTCTTGGAGGCAGAGCTTTGATGAGTGCATAACTTGTGTACCTGTTGTTGTCCTTGTAGGTGCGTGGAGGGCAGCGACAGAAGAATGGGGCACGGAGGACTGGAATGAAGATGTAGGTACTCTCCAAACCCCTCTCCTCCGTGCATCTGCCAGCAGGCTGCTGTCCTGTCTGTACACAGAGCTCTGAGGGAAGCTCAAAGCTCATCCTCTCCAGAGAGAACCCCAGCCAGGCTCCCAGTTCCAGGAGCTATGAGGAATAAGTAATCATCACAGCTTTTAAAAGATACATGTAGTAGAGCTTGCCATAGGAGCCCAAGACAGGAAGGGATCTCCTAGGGCCTTGAGGCTGGTCCTCTCATTTCCTGTAACTGTATGATGGAATTCTTCCAGAAACTGGCCTGACTCCACACGGGACTCTTGCTCCATCCCTCCAGTGGAGTGGCAGCTGGGGAAGGTTTGCCTTGGATCCCACCACGTGCTGTGGAGGAGGCAGCAGTGTTTTCCTGCATCTCGTGTGCCTCTGCTTGTCCTTGTGACTCGGATGGAACAGAAGCTCTTGACTTGACTTTCTGCGGTGCTCTTTGACGTGTCTTGCTGCCTTTCGTTCTCTACTTGATGTCTCCTTCAGGGGAGAATGGGTGCTGTTAGCACCAGCTGTTAATGCCCCTATATCAGATTCTTCTGAAGTGGGCTTCAGTCCCTCTCCAAATCGAGGGAGGACTTGTGTTATTGCAGATGGGAGCAGGGTTGAGCTTTTTTAGTGTGATTGTTACTTTTGCATGCTCATTTTGGCTCAGCCAACTGAATGGGCAAGGAGGGGAAGTGTTTGCTTTCCAGGCACTCTGAGGGAAGTGCTCCTGCTGTGTTTGGAGACAGGAGCAGTTTGTTCAGTCAGGTCTCTGCTAGAAGGGAGCCTTTGAGAGCCCTTCTTGCCTTCAGTGTGTATGAGATGCTCCCAGGGGTTCCGGATTTAGGTTTTTAACTCTGGCACTTTAATTTCTGGTGGTTCCTCAGCCTTCTATTCCTTCAAGAATAGTTCATGTTCAGATGTGTTCCAGGATAAATCACAGGTGGTCACCAGCCCTCCTCTTCACCCATTCTTGAGCAATGTTATTTTCCCTTCCGTAGTTGATCTGTTGGTCAGATCATCCAAGTGAGCTTGGATCATTGAAAGCTTAAGTATGGGTCCAAAGTTTCTTCCTTTGGGTTCTCCACCAGTGCTTGCACCTCTCTGTGCAGGGGTTTGGCAGATCCTCCCTGCGTGCCATCGACTCGGAGCACCAGCCCAGGGCCCCAGGAGCCCCCGTGGGTTTGTGGACTGTGGGAAAGTTGTGGAAGGATTTTAGTTTGGGTTTGTTTTTATTTTTTCACTGGCAGGTGATTTGTGCACTTGCCCGAGAAGAAAGAAAGAAAAGCTGATTCTGATGGGAGCCAAATGCTAGGGAAGTTTAAGTCTAAACACTTGAATTTCTTGAGTCTTTCTGTGGCCGTTTGTCTCAAACATTCGTGTGCTTTGTGTCACAGGCACTGTTACAAGGCACTCTTCTCACTTTTTAATTATTTTTCCCTTTTTTATCTTTCAGCTGTCAGAGACAAAGATCTTCACTGCCTCCAACGTGTCTTCAGTGCCTCTGCCTGCTGAGAATGTGACAATCACAGCTGGACAAAGGTGAGTGCCCATGGTGATGCCGTTTACCCCGGAAAAGTGGCACACAAGTCCTGGAGCAAGTTGCCTTCTTTGACTGAACCTTGCCAGCTAGCTAAAATGCCGCAGCTCTGAATGAGATGAGGTGGATTTAAATGGAGAGGTTGAGTTAGGAATTTCTGGGTCCTAATCTTGGATTAGAGTTTTCCTAGGCTCTGCTGGTGGTTCTTCAGGTCTGGGGGCATTTTGCTGTCTTAAATTAATGAAAAACATAAAATCAAAGGCTATTCAGGGTCTTGCTTGATCTCCCTCTCTCCTTTTGAGGTTGCTACTGGCAGTTGTGAGTTAATGTTCTGAAGATTCCTTTAATTTGTAAAGTTCAAGGTGTGAGGCTGGAGGGGGAATTGTGCTGGAATGGAAGAGGATGCTCATGGTAACCTTGGTTGGGTTTTCCTCTTTCTCTTCACAGAATCGACCTCGCAGTCCTGCTAGGAAAGACACCCTCTTCTATGGAGAATGAGTCAACGAACCTGGAGTCATCCCAGACTCCTTCTCTGGCCCAGCCACTGGTGTTCAGCAATTCCAAGCAGACTGCTCTGTCCCAGCCTGCCTCTGGAAATTCCTTCTCTCACCACAGCATGGTAAGGCAATGCTGGTCTCTGCCAGCAGAGGTTTGATGGGGGTTACTCATTCCCTGATGTTTTGTCTGTTTGGGTAATGTGGGAAATGCAGTCCTGACACCTGCTTGCTGCTTGGGGCTGGCAGAGCCAGATAATTTGCCAGTCTGCTTCAAATGCAGAAGCCTGAAGTTCATTGCTCAACTTGAAATAATTGGGATAATTCCGCCCCTGTTACCCTTGTGTGATTTGCAGCACACGTTTCTTCCCTGCTCAGAGGAAAGGAAAAACTCATGGTCCAGGGCTTGCAATTTCAACAATTTGAGAAGAGGAAGTGGTTGGGAACTGGTGTTGGATGGAACTGGGGGATGGAATGCTGGCATCTACTGGCAGGAGAGGGAAGGAGGCATTGAGTCAGAGTCAGGGATGTGCAGGGACGTGGGCAGATGTTGCTTTGTGTAATTAAAGCAAAAAGAAATGAAAATTGTGCTCTTAATAGTGAGATAGTTGAGGAAGAATTTTCAAAACCACCTTAACATAAAGCCAAGTTGTCCAGGTGTTTCTTTTTTTAGTGCAACCAAATACATGAGAATAATTGAGTACATTTTTAATATTCTGTCTATTAGCTTCCTTTGTAACCCTCTGTGTCTGTACCATGCTATGGGTTGGGTGAGAGGTGGTCATTCCTGCACTCACACGTGATGGAGGACCGGGAGAGAAGTACAAGCCCTCCCTGCCAGCAGTGTGTGTGTGTTTGGAGCTCAGGAGTGTTAAGCTGAGGCACCCAGTGAGAAGCAGCAGGGTTCAGTGCCTTCAGGTTTATGTTAAGAGATGTACCTGTCCTCTGAGCCAAGTTCCAAGCCATGGGAGACGTTGACTTTGTTATCTCCTTGTTGAAATTGCAGGTGAGCATGCTGGGGAAAGGGTTTGGAGATGTCGGGGAGGCCAAAGGCAGCAGTACCACAGGGTCTCAGTTTCTGGAGCAGTTCAAGACAGCCCAGGCATTGGCTCAGCTGGCAGCTCAGCACACCCAGCCTGCTGGGAGCACCACTGCTGCTTCCTGGGACATGGGATCCACCACGCAGACCTCGTCTCTGGTGCAGTACGGTAAGGAAAAGGAAAAAGAAAAGCAGCACGGCCCCCCAGAGCAGGCAGAGTGTGTTCCCACCCACGGCAGCAGAGGCAGCAGGGGGAGGGACTCAGCAGATCACAAGTTCACAACCAAGCCAGCTGAGCTGGAGAAATTAAAAGAACTGTGGGACCAAGTTTGTGAGCCTAAAATGTAACAGTGCCTGTGAATCTCTCCCAGTTCCTTTTATGCTTGGAGCAGTTGAATCCATCATTCCAGCATGCTTCAAGGCCAAGGATCTGGCATTCCAAAGCCTCTCAGAGTGTGCAGAACTACCTCCTGATGTAAAGTTGTGCCAGAAAAAGGTCTGAAAGGGCACCTCTGGAGAATAGGTCCTGAATACCAACACTTGTCAGTCTCCTCTCCCTGCTGACCTGATGTTATCTTCTAAGGGAATTCCACTTGCTGTTAAATGCCAAAAAGTAACTCTACCTCTGGGCTGGCCTGAGGGAATAAATGAGAATTGAGAGGCTCTTTTCAGATGAGGTGCAGAGCTCTGCTGTGGTTGAGTGCTAGTGCCATTTCCTTCAGCTTGTGCTTGTTGCAGAGAAATGGCTCTGGTTCAAATCTAAGCTGAAGAAAAACTGAGCCCTGTCCTAGTGACAGTGGGTGTTGACAGCTTCTAATCTTCTCAGACAAGAAACAAGAAACCACAGAGGAGAGTCGGAGAGAATAGAAGCTGGTTTTTATAAGCTGTGCTTAGGCTTAGTGGAAGGAGGAAGGTGGTGCAAAGACCTGAGGGTGGCAGCCCTGAGCAGTGATGTTGCTTGGAGATATCCAGTTCCTGCAGGGGAGGGAGCAGGCAGTGGAATAGTGGAATGCTGGTAGCAACGAGGGAGGAAGCGGCACCAGGCTGGTGCAGGGCAAGGGGCTCTGGAGTCCAGCTTTTCTTGGAGAATGGAGGACTTCTGCCATGCAAACTGGCTTTGTCCTGTAGAGATGGTGGAAGGAGCTGAGGGGAGAGGAGCTTAAAAAGGCTTGGCACTGACAGTGGTGAGAGCACAAGGCTGGGAGTGGAGATGCTGGGGATCTCTGCTCTCTGATTTTAACAGGCTCCAGGATGACTCATAGTAGCAAATGGATTTTATTTTTCTTGGTAAGTGTCAGAACTTGATTTAGTTTTAAGGCAACATACCCTGCTAACTCACCTGCGTCTCACCCCACAGATCTCAAGAACCCAACAGACTCTTCCGTGCATAGTCCCTTCACTAAGCGTCAGGCCTTCACGTCAACTTCCACCATGATAGAAGTGTTTATGCAGGAGAAACAGCCTGTGGTGACGGCCTCCACAACCACACCGGCACCCCCATCCTCTCCGCTGCCCAGCAAAACCAATCCTGTGCCCCAGATGTCCCCAGGGTCCTCGGATAACCAGTCCTCAAGTCCCCAGCCAGCACAGCAGAAGCTGAAGCAGCAGAAGAAAAAAGCATCATTAACATCAAAGGTGCGGACTGATGGTGGGGAAGGAGGTGTCAGACTGTGTTAGAGCTACAGAAGCATCTGTTTGGGCTGGTGAGGGAAGGTCTGGGGTTGCCCTTCCTGCTGTTAGGAGGGGGTGTTTGTGGGGGTGATGGAATTACATGCCAGCTTGGGTTGAACGTGTAACTCAGGCTGCAAGCCTGTGTCGTGTGCTGGGAAATGTGGGCTCTAAAGCAACTCTCTCTGCTGATCCCAGGGAGTGACTGGGCCGTTCTGTTGCTCCTCCCTTGCAGATTCCTGCACTTGCAGTGGAAATGCCTGGCTCAGCGGATATCTCAGGGCTAAACCTGCAGTTTGGGGCATTGCAGTTTGGTTCAGAGCCTGTTCTCGCCGAGTACGAGTCGACGCCCACGACCAGCGCCGCCGTTAGCCAGGCTCAGAGCAGCCTGTACACCAGCACGGCCAGGTGAGCACCACGAGCCATTAATCCAAGCAGGCAGCTTTGGAAGGTCGCTGATCCCATGACTTGAGTTGTGCTGCATACTAGTAGACCCTTTCTGACTGTGCTGTAGTCACAAAGGGGGGACAGTGTATGCAACAGCAAAGCACAAGTTGCCAGCAGACTCATCGGGCAGCTCTGTGGCTGTTTCGACCTGCAGCACTTGCACAGAAAGCGGAGTTTTCCTGCTGCCCTTAAACTGTGTTGCTGGAAACACTGGAGGGAAATCCCCAGCACAACTGCTCTGTGTCCCTGGTGAACAGATTGAGTGCTTTGTCCTGCTTTTAGCCTGGCAAACCAGGACACAGTGGGGTAGGTGTATCTACAGTGATGGTGCCTTGCCAAAGCAATGTGTTTCTGTCTTCTCTTGGGCTGACCCTCCGTAACTGGCCAGTCTCTTAAGTGCCAGCACCTGAGTGGTGGCAGCTCATGAAGTGTTACCCAAGGCAGCGTGTGAGGCAAGGCTGTGGCTGGGTGCCAGCATCCTCCCATGGTTGGGCTACCCCTGTTCTCTGGGCATGTTTCTTCTTTAGCTGCTTCATGTGGTGCCTTTATGCTGATGCTTGAATGGGTTTTTTTCCCCCCGCTTTGCAGTGAATCTTCATCCACGATTTCGTCCAATCAAAGCCAGGAGTCTGGTTACCAGAGCGGCACAATACAGACAGCAACATTTACCTCCCAGAACAGCGCTCAGGGACCACTGTACGAACAGAGATCCACCCAGACGAGGCGATACCCCAATTCCATCTCCTCCTCGCCCCAGAAAGATCTGACCCAGGCTAAGGTAAGAGAACAGCTTTTATCACCTCTTGTACTGAGTGAGCCTTGTGTGTGAAGCGGTGTCTCAGGGGGAAGCTGAGGGGTTTATCAAGTGGTTCTCCAGCCTCACTGTGTGGCTCACGAGCTCTCATCTGGCTACTCCCAGTGCCCTCAGCTGTGCTGTGTACCTGGGACTGAGCCAATGGTGTCAGGTTGATTGCAAGGTGTGTGTTGTGTCTCACACAGTTACCCTGCTAGAGAGGGGTGTGCTGGTGAAGGATTCCATTTCCTCTTAAGGAGTTGGTTCTTGCATGCTGCACACCAGTTCAGTAACATCAGGTTTGGCTAATGAATGTGGTTTTAGGAGGTTGAGGTAGTCTTAACAACCAGCAGCAGAGAAACTTCTTGGACTAATTTCTCAAATGTACACGTGGGGATCATGCTGGCATGGGGCTAGTTGACCTTGGAACTGTGACCCCAACACAGTCTGGTGACATGTTGGTAGCAGGACCTTTTCTTAAACTGAGGAGGGAGTGTGGGAGGGAGCTGACAAGAGCTCTGCCTCTGGAAATGTGCAGCTGTGATGCCCAGTACTCCTTTTTTCTCTTCTTCCTCAGAATGGATTCAGTTCTGTACAGCCCACGCCATTACAAACCACACAGGCCGTTGAAGGTAAGTATCTGCCAGCACAGCAGGTGACCTGTGTCTCTCGTACTGCTCATGTTCTCTGCTTTGGATGAGAAGCCTTATCTGTGCTAATAGCAAGTCCTTCCCTTGCTGGACTAATTGCTGCCATTTAGATTATTTACTTGCCTCAAAACATTCAGCTTTCTGTTGATGGATCATGAGATCCTTGAGTCACCAATGACAATAATTTATTCTGCTTTGTTTGTAGAAGGCATCTGTAGATCTTGAAGCTCTTTGTAGAGCCAATGGCAGTGTAAAGCGAGACATAAAACACAGTCGCAAGTGTGTAACTGGTTGGCAGCAGTGAGGGAATCCCTAGATCTCCTGATGTCCTTTGGCTGAGCATTGGCTGATCCCTCTGGAAGCTGCCAGTAGCTGCCCCTAACCCAAAGCTTTTGTTTTTAGGTGCTACAGGCCCCGCAGTGAAATCCGATTCCCCCTCTGCTCCCAGCATCACACCTCTCAATGATGGGGTGTCTGCGTCGTCCTTGCTGACAACAGCCAGCCAACACTCGACGGCTCTGAGCAGCCTGAGCCACAGTGAGGAGCTCCCCAGTACAACCACTGCCCAGCTCAGCAGGTGAGGAGCACCGGGGGTGGATTTCTGGAGAAGCAGAACTAGAAGCAGGAATCCATACTAGGCATCAGAGACTGTCCGGTGCAGTGAGGAAGACTGAGATGACTCATCCCATCTGAGTGGATGGGGAATGGGATAGAGCCACCAGTAGTGACTCTCTCACCTTGGTTTGACAACCTTTTCTTTCTCCTCCTGCAGTGCATTACCCACCCAGCAGAACAGTCTGTCCTCATCCACATCCTCTGGGCGAACATCAACTTCAACTCTCCTGGTGAGTCTGGGTGTGCTCTGTGCCCTGTTCCCACTTGGCTTGGCCAGGTTCACTGGGGTGCCTGACCTTAGGGCTGTGGTTGTGACAGAACCTACCAGGCTGCTGGCTGTCCTGCTGGAGTTTGGATGCTGTGTGGAGAGAGGACAGGGGATGATGTCAGAGCACTGTCTGTGCACCTGTGGCTTGAGGCTGTTGACACCCTGCTTGTCTCTGACTGAGCAGTGGCTCTTTTCAGTCTGTAGCAGCCCTTGAAAGTGCTACAGAGTTGCAGCCACGTCAGAGCAAACCGGTAGCTGATGCAGTGCTACCAAATGTCTCTACTGCTGGAGTTCCCATAGTATGGAGTCCCTGGGTCTCAGCTTCTGCAGCAGAATAAATCTCCCTGCCACAAATGTGGTGTCTTGCCCTGTTCCCCCCAGCGGAGAGATGTGTTGGGACAGCCACAGTGACAGTGCTGTCTCCCACACCACAGGAGAGGCTTGAAAACATTAGGGGTTGGCTGCTGTCAGGACTTTGGACTTAAACCAAAACTTAAGGTTTCCTTGTAGCCTGCAGCCATTCTCTACAGGGACACCCAGGTGCAGACAGTGTCCTGTGGTACCTGTGCCTGGTCCCCTGACTCTCCTCCCTTCCTTCCCCAGCACACGAGTGTGGAGAGTGAAGCGAGCCTCCATTCTTCTGCTAGCACTTTCTCCACCTCCTCCAGCACGGTGTCGGCCGCGCCGCCGGTGGTCAGCGTCTCCTCCAGCCTCAGCAGCGTCAGCAGCCTGGGCCTCAGCCTCAGCAGCAACTCCACGGTGACGGCCTCCACTCGCAGCTCCGTTGCAACAACATCAGGTGCTTTCCTGGCTCCTGCTGCACAGGAGCTAAGAGAGTGAGCTTTTGCTGATTGCTTCACTGTGGAACTTCTCATTTCTCTTCCTTTTTCCAGGAAAAGCCCCTCCTAATCTCCCTCCTGGAGTCCCACCGTTGTTGCCCAATCCATACATCATGGCTCCAGGGTTGCTACATGCCTATCCAGTGAGTAGATTAGCTTTGTGGTAATGTCATGCCAGCAGATCCGTCCCAGCTCCCTCTGCGGCAGGGGAGGATGCAGGACAGTGGGGAGACCAAAAACTGACGTAGCTCGGCGGGGCTGCCTTGGGCAGGTGGAGTTTGAACCTCCTGTTTTCCATGTGCCTGTTGAGGTAAATGTCTGTCCTCGTGACCCCAGAGCAGAGTCTCTGCACCTGTTCTCAGCAGCCTCCCCAGCCTCTGGGGAGCAGCAGCCCTTGGGCAGAGCACGGTGCATGGGAACATGGAGCAGTTTTAGATACGTGATGTGACAAAGGGCAAGCACAGGCAGGGCAAGGGTGGCGACTCCCACGAGGTCGCGGGGTGTGTCACAGCCCTCTCCTGAAGGTGAGAACAGATTTTGAGGAAAAACTGCTCAGGGGCTGTGTGATCTGGAGCACTGTCCTTTGAGCAGCTCACAGGAACCTTCAGCAGCATCAGCCTGCAAAGGGGCTGGCTGCCTGCACCTTGGGGGATTGTTTGGCTGCTGACCCGCTGCTTCTGGCTTTATTTCATGTTTATCTAAATGTTCAATCTTAAATCAGATAAGTGTCTTTATCTAATCCATGTCCCTCACCTCATCTGCTGTTCTATTTCTAGCCACAGGTGTACGGATACGATGACTTGCAAATGCTCCAGACGAGATTCCCATTGGTGAGTAGTGCAGAGTGACAGGGACACACCACTTCTGCTGGCTCTGAGTGCTGTGGGAGTATAGACACGTCAGGCTGTGGGTAGTCCCAGAGAGCTGGAAAAATGGAATGAACCTCTCTTGTGACAGCCATTAGAGCCATTAGAGTTAATCAGTTGCTCCCTGACACATGGGAAGTTGGGTGCGTGAGTATCCCTTGTGGGGCTGGGGAGCGTGAGAACTACAGCAGCAGGGCTGTTGTAGAGACTCACCTCTGATCCTTGACAGAGGCAGTGACTAAATACTTATTAAAATGGGCTTTACTTAGTGATAGGACATGTCCATTTTGTTTTGAAGCAGAGGGGAAAGTCCAGGCAGTTTAAGGACTGCATACCAGTAGACCTTATCTGGTTCTAATAGGCAGATCAGGGGGATAGTGCATGCTACAAAAGCCTGGGTCTGCTGCAGGTCATGATCAGCCTGGATGTGGCTGGTTGAACTCTGATACCCTGACATATCTTGCAGCTGCAGGACAGGAATTCCTCTGTCCCGAAAGATACTGCTTTGCCCTTTTAGACAGAGCTGATAAAACATCTCCTTTTGTTTTTATTCATCAGGATTACTACAGCATCCCATTCCCTACACCCACCACCCCGCTGACTGGAAGAGATGGCAGCCTGAGCAGCAATCCGTACTCTGGTAGGGAAAAACTCTGCTCCAAATCCCATTCCATCAGGGTTTGTGCTGCTGCTACTGGTGTCCTGTGCCTTTGTCTGCTGGAGCTACATCTGCACCAGCCTCCTGCACTGGAGCACGTCTCACAGCTAAATTCTTGTCTTCCCCTTGGACATCTGGTTTTGTCAAGGCCCATTACAGGGAAGAGGTGGGCGAGTAGGAGTTAGTGTGGCAGTTGGAAAGGGAGTGAGGAAGGGCTGAGGAGTACAGCTGGGAAACTGCTTTCCAGGTTGGTGGTGAGGCCAAACACTCAAGCACCATGAGTAAAAATACAAAGAAATACAAAATATGGAGAAATTAAATTTTTTATCTATGGAACTGCCTTATCAAGAAGACCAATGGGACATTTGGGACCTGTCAAACCTGAACCAAGCACTCAGCGGGTGCCTGACCACTCACTGACCTCGATAGATGTGTTTATGCACTGCCAACCTGCAGTGGGCAGTGACTGTGCTGAGCTTTCACATGCTTTAGGAATTGTTGCACTTTGAGGTTTGCTATTTTTCCAGCACTGATTCTCCCTGGCTTCAGCAGGAGCCAATTTGTGTGGAAGTGCTTTTGCCCAACTGAGGCTGAAATGCTCTGAACTGGAGAGTTTTTGCGTGGAAGAACCAAGCAGGTGCTCACAAAGAGCAGCACAGGGAGCTTCCCCCAGCCCTGCAGCCAAGCCCTCCACAGCCCAGGCAGGGAACTGGGTTGTGTTCAGTCCTGCTGCTGGTGCACAGGGAGGGGTGAGGGAGAGCTGTAGTACCAGGCTTTGCACAGGCAGCCAGCAGCAGGCTTATCCCGTGCTGGATTGTGGGCTGAGGTCAGGCAGGGCAGCACAGTAGCTGAGCTGCTGTGGGCTTCCCTTCCCCTCTGTAGTCTTCTCAGGGCCAAGGATTAATTAACAGCTTTGCCTTATCAGTGTGCAAAGGTCTGAAGGTTTGTGAGGGCGGCAGGCTTTTGCAGTGGCGGGAGGGGAAACTGATTGAAGTAACTGTTTATCAAAAGGCTGGGTCAGCTTTGGGCTGAGCTGGCACAGGCCAGGATCTGGCACGTGTGTTCTTCACTCTCACCTCCTCTATTTCAGGTGACTTAACAAAATTTGGCCGAGGTGATGCCTCTTCCCCTGCTCCTGCAACAACTCTGGCACAGCCTCAGCAGAGCCAGACCCAGACCCATCACACCACGCAGCAGACGTTCCTGAACCCGGCGCTGCCTCCTGGCTACAGTTACACCAGTCTGCCGTACTACACAGGGGTACCAGGGCTCCCAAGCACCTTCCAGTATGGGCCCGCCGTGTTCCCTGTGAGTTTCCTGGGGGCAGGGGGTGGGATTTGGCCAGGGGGGTGGCACAGCAAAGCCTCTCCTCACTCTGCCCCTCTCTGTTCTTGTAGGTTGCTCCTACCTCTTCCAAGCAGCATGGTGTGAATGTCAGCGTCAACGCATCAGCGACCCCTTTCCAACAGCCCAGTGGCTACGGCTCTCATGGGTACAGCACTGGTAAGAGAGCTGTTGGAGCACCTTCCACGGTAGCAGGGCTTGCTCCCTGTCTCACTGGCCATGCTGGGGACTGCTGTCTTCCAGCAGTAAGAGAGGAGAATGCCTGGGTGCCACTCTCATGTCATTTGATTATCCCTGGAAAAGCCCAGGATTGTTCTGCATCCACATCTGGAGCAGGTTTGGGAGGTACAGAGCACTTCATGCCCTCCTCTGTGCCCCACAGTCGAGTGGATGGGGCCTTGGACCCCTGTCAGAAGCTGAATTGTTTGGTTTTATTTGATTTGTTGTTTTTTTAACTGCCTCTGTGTGATCAATAGAACATTTCTGGATTTGAATTCATTTCCCACCGGTGTTTGGCAGACACTTTCTAGGGAGCTGTCCTTGATTCAAAGATGCAGGAAGGTTGTGAACCTGCCGCCTGTCTGGGTACTGGTTTCACTGGTTGGCATCCAGCTGACTGACACAGGGGTGCATTTGGGTCCTTCTTCCAGCCTTTAAATTCCCCTTGTCCCTCTTCTCACTACATTAGAGCCCTTCAAGATACTATTTTCTCTTTGTGAAGTCCTCCAGCTTTGTACCAGGTCTTCTTGTGCTGAGTCCTTCAAACCTCTTTGATTTCAGCACTTTTTCTGCACCTTAAATAGTCACTGAGTCGTCCTCTGGGCACCCTGTTTTACAGCCAGCCCCGTGCAGGTTGTGTTGGCAATCACTGCACCAACTATCCCAGCCCACAGCTGAGTTGCCTTGACATGCAGTTGCCTATTTTACACACAAAGGGCTCTCAGGCTGTTCTTGCTGCCGTGTTCCGTGCTGGGGGTTTGTTTCCGTGTCTCTGTGCTGCATTCCCCAGCTCTCCTCAGAGCTACTGTTTTCTGTGTGTTTCTCTGTGTGTTTTTCCAGCCCCTCGCTTGGTTTCTGGACTCTTGTCCAGAGCAGAAGAACTTAAACTTGTGTGGGTGCTTTGCTCATGGCCATGCCAGGACCCTGCTCCCCAGGCTGATCTGTCTTCAGACCTTCCCTGGCCACCAGAGCTCTGCACCAAGTGCTGCTGGTTGTCAGCAGCTCCTGCTGAACTGGTGGCTGCTGCCTAACGCTCTCCTGCCTCTCTGTCCTCCCCAGGTGTATCCGTGACATCCAGTAATACAGGCGTGCCGGACATCTCAGGCTCTGTCTACTCCAAAACTCAGGTCAGTGTCTGTGAGTGTTCCCTGTGTGGCTGCAGAGGGGAAGCTGAGCTCTGAGACAGCCTCCCTGTGCAATAAAGGTCTCTTCCCCTTGTATTGGTCAGCCAGGGAGAAGGGAAATGCTTGACCTTCCCCAGTTTAGAGCAATTCTAAGCCCAGAAAGACCCATAGGAGGAGACTGACTCTGGGTCTATGACATGTAGAGCTGGGGAGGGCCACGCTGCCAGCCTGGCTCCCAGCCCTTAGTCCGGTGTTGGCATCCTCTCCTCAGCAATCCTTCGAGAAGCAGGGATTTCACACTGGAACCCCAGCAGCCTCCTTCAACCTGCCTTCGGCGCTGGGCAGCGGTGGCCCCATCAACCCTGCGACGGCGGCGGCGTATCCCCCGACCCCCTTCATGCACATCCTGACCCCGCATCAGCAGCCGCACTCGCAGATCCTCCACCACCACCTGCAGCAGGACGGGCAGGTGAGCGATGCCCCAGCGCTCCAGCCCCTCGCTGGGGTATCTCCTGGAGCTCTTCCTCCCCCTCCTCCCCCTGGTTTCCCTCCCTCCTGTCCTGCAGCAGACACACGCGGTGACACACACACACGCCCCCACACATACACACACACACAGGTGAGAGGATGAGGTGAGGGCACGCCTGGGGTGTGCTCTGCTGGGGGGTTACTTGGCACAACCCCCCAAGCTGCCAGGCTGTGCTAGGAATGGCCAGGTAGTGCCCCCCACACGCAGACACACCCAGAGAGCGCCCCAATCTTCCCCATCCTCAGAGGGGCAGCCCCGCAGGTCAAGCAGCAAAGGAGTCACTCGCCACAGCCATGACCCTCCTGGAGCTTTCAGGTCTAACCATGGATTTCTACTGTCATAGTTTGTCCCTTTATTTTACATATCCTGTACTGCAACAGCTTCCATATTTGCAGATGATACTGTGCTGCCAACGCCAGCAGGAAGATCAGGTAATGAACTCTCTGATAATGCATTGCACTTGCCCTGGGGTCTCCCCCTGCCCTTCAAGGCTGCCCAGGCTCAAGTAGCCTCTTCCTTCTCCCCCACGGCCACCCAAGGTGAGGAGAGAGGCCCTCAGTTGGTATATGCACACACACCCACACCCGCGTGCAGACACACACGTCCCTGCGCTGACCCTTCCCGCTCCCTGCTGCCCCTGGCCCCGTGTGCTGTGCCCTGGAGGAAGGCACGGAGCAGGGGGAGGGCGCGGGGGCTGCGGGGGTACAAGCAGGACAGCCCCAGTGCCAGAGGAGGAGCAGCGGACGCCGAGGAGGAGCCGTGGCCGCAGTGCCTGGTGGGGCTGAGGCATCGTCCTGCAGAGTGGGCTGGGGCCGGTTCCCCCCACACTCACCACCCGCTTCTCCTTCTGCCCCTTCCTGCAGAGCGGCTCTGGGCAGCGCAGCCAAGGCAGCTCCATCCCCCAGAAATCCCAGGCCAACAAATCCGCCTACAACAGCTACAGCTGGGGCGCCAACTGAGGCCGGGCCCCCCCGCCACCACTTTGCTTCCGGAAGAGAATCCCAGCTACCCCGATGATGCTGAAGGATCCCAGGGAGGAGAGAGCCCTGTGGTGGGGAGCACCCAGGCCCCCACCCCTGGCAGGGTCCCGCAGGGCAGGCCGCAGGCGCCTCTGCGTTGTCTGTCTTCAGCCACTTTCCTGTTGTATGTAATATAGAATTTGTATTTTTTTCTTTTTTTTTTTTTCCTTTTTTTTTCTCTCTGCATTCAGATCTGAACCGTTTGCCGTAGGGGCCTTTTTTGGTTTTTACTCCTTTCTGTCCCCTCTCCCCTCCTGCTGCCCCAGAACCTCTCAGATCCAAAGGAGTGGAAGCTGCGAGTCGCCTACAGCAAACCCCCTTATTATTAGGAATAAGACCAGTAATTGATATGAGCAGCATTGTAAGATTAATTAGTTGAAGTGTTTTTTTGTACCGTGTTCTAAATTTAATGGATAAATGTGTCTTGTATATAAAAACAAAAACCCCATGCCGTCCTCTAGTTCTCTCATTTCCTCCCCCCTCCACTGCTGTCTGACAGAGGGGCCCCCCATTATTTTACATCCTCCATCTGTGCCCCTCCCTCCTCACGGGCCTGAGTGCAGGTCCTGCTCCCCTTGCACGCTGTATCTTCTGCTTTTGGGTTGGGTTTTTTGGGGGGATTTTTTTTGTTTTGTTTTTTTTTGTTGTTGTTTTTTTTTTCTATGCAGTCCAGATCTTGTATTTTTCAGTTCCACCTGGTCCCTTCAGCTGCAGCCCCAAGTGGGGATTTACTGAAGAGAATAAAGATCACAAAGTGATGTGTGTATTTTTTCCACCTTTCAGCCTGGTTCCCTATTTTTGGTGCAGGGGGTGGGAGGCCCTGGATGGGCGAGGGGTAGCAATGCTTCCCCCACCTCTCCCCACCGTCTTGCTGTTTTTTTGTTGTGGTGTGGTTTTTTTTTTGTTTTTTGGGTTTTTTTTGTCCCCTGGTTTTGTGGATTTTTTCCTCTTCCTGGCTGCAGCTCTGGGCAGCAGCAGGATCCCAGCACAGGGACGGTGTCAGAGTCCTTCCCCCCGAGATTCCCACCTTCCACTTCTTCCCTTCCACTGCTCATCTCGGAGCTTGGGGGCCTCCACCCCAGCCCCCTGGTCTCCAGGAGGGGTAGGGGACAGGTTGGGCCGGCAGGGAGGGGTGTCTCGGGCGCTGGGGAGGGCAGTGGGACCACGAGGATGGCAGGAAGGCTTGGGTGCCCCGCCAGTGGCTGCTGAGCTGCAAGGTGAAGGGGGCGAGGGCTGGGGGGGAACAAAGCTGGAGCCCCCCGTGCTGTGGGTCCCAGTGGGGCAGCGGGAGGGCTGGGGGCTGTGCCGGCAGAGCTCAGCGGGGCTGGGGGTGCAGGATCCGGGGGTGCAGGATCCAGGGGGTGCAGGCCTGGCGGTGCAGGAGCAGGGGCTGAGGCCCGGGGGTCCCGGCCGGAGCCCCCGCTGTCCCCGGGCCCGGCCGGGGGAACACGGGGCGAGCCCCGCGGCGCTCACGACAGCCGGCGGCGCTTTGCGGCCGCGGCGCTTTGCGGCGGCGGCACCGGCAGGGCCCGGACCGGGATGAGCTTCTTCGACGCCTTCCGCGGCTTCTTCGGGTTCCCGGGGCCGCGCAGGTACCGCGGCCCCGCCCGGCCTGCCCGCACTGCCCCCGGCCCGGCCCGCTGTCTCAGTGCCGCGCTCCCGCAGGCCCCGGGACCCGCTGTTCGGTGGCGCGGCGTGGGACGAGGAGGAGGAGGAGGAGGATGACGGCCCGGGCCTGGCGCAGCCCCCGCAGGACTTCGGCTTCGGGTTCAGCCCCGGCGCGTCCCGCGGCACCTTCGAGGAGCTGTTCCGGGACATGGGCGAGCTCCTGGGGGCGCTCGGGGGAGCGTGGGCAGGGCCCCCGCAGCCCTTCGGTGGGCATGAGGAGGGGCCGCGGCTCGGCGGGGCTGTGGGGGCCGCTCGGAGCCCCCTCAGCCTGACCGACTTCCCTCTGCTCCGCAGCGCCCGCCCTGCCCAGCCCCGGCGAGGAGCGGCCGCTGCGGGACTCGATGCTGAAACACCCGGACAGCCCCCCCGCCAGCGCGGCCCCGGCGGGCCCCGAGGGCGGCAGAGACCCGGCCCGGCCCTGGAGACCCTTCCTGGGGGTGGGTGAGGGGTCTGGGGTCCGCCCCGGCCGTCGCACCCTGCTGGTGCCACTCGGCGCTTGTCGCGGTGTCGCCCCCGTGCCGGGGGTTGCCCCCCGTGTCACCGGCGCGTGGCTTTGCCTTGCAGCTGGACGATGCTGGCCCGGCCCCTCCCGGCCCCAAGGCAGACCAAGGTGCGTGCTGGGAGCGGGGCCCGGGGGTCTCTGCGCTGCCGCCGGGCCGTGTCCCCACGGACACGCGGCCACCGTGTCACATCTCCCCCCAGACCTGGACTCGCAGGTCTCCTCCGCGGGGCTGGGGACCATCCTGAGACCCGACGAGCCCAAGTCCCGCTCCTACTTCCAGAGCGTGTCTGTCACCAAAGTGACTCTGCCTGACGGGGTGAGTGTCCCCGCGGGGGCGGCGGGGCCGGGGGTACCCGGGAGGGTCGGGAGGTGGTTCTAGGGGTTCGGGAGGTGGTTCTGGGGCTCGGGAGGTGGTTCTGAGGGCTCGGCGCCCCGTGCAGGCGGTGGAGGAGCGCCGCACCGTGCAGGACAGCCAGGGCCGCCGGGAGACCACGGTGACCCGCCGGAGGGGGGACCAGGCCTTCATCACCACCACCAAGGAGGACGGGCAGGGCAAGGACTACCGCGAGGAGGTGCTCAACATGGACGACCGTGAGTGGGGGGCCGGGGAGGGCGCGGGGGGCGGGAGGGGCCCCGCTGAGGGGGCTCTCCCTGCCTGTCCAGGGGAGCTGGCGCAGTTTGCGGGCTCGTGGCCGCGGCAGGAGGAGCTCCGCCCTCCCAATCCGAGCGACCCGTCGTCTGTGCTGGGCAGCTTCCTCCGGCACTGGTTCTCCAGCTGGTAGCCGTGCCCAGCCCTGGCTGAGCACCCGGTATGTGTGACACGTGCAGGGGGGACGGACCCCGGGGCTGTCAGAGCGGGCACGGGACAGCAGCGTCTTCCCACCACCTGGTTTGGTTGTAGGTGGGTCACATCCTGCTGGGAGCTGGCACCTGGGCTGGGGGCTGCCTTCCTTCAGGAGTGCTGTGGAGCCACAGGAACCCCCGGGGGGGCCGAGTGTGTGTGTGTGTACAGCTCAATAAAGTCTATTTATGCTAAGCAGTGACCTGCTGTGCTCCTTCAGTCTGGGTTTGGAAGCAGATCCACCCTGGATGCCAGGATGGCTCTTGGGGGGCTGCCTGAGGGGTGCAGGTGCTTGGTGGACTCCTGTGCCTGTACTGCTCTCTGCTCACCTCCCTTTCCCATTTTGCTGCCTGGAGCTGAGCTAATGCCCCCCTCCCCAGCCACTCTTGAGGGCCTGAGCCAGGGCCTCTTCACTAGCACTGACTGCAGCTGCAGCTTGGGCAAAGATGTGGCAGGGGAAGGGGAACTCTTGGCTGGGAAACACCTGTGCCCACTCACCTGAGTGAGGTCTGGGCTCCCCACAGCTGGTGGAGGATCTGACCTGGCCCTACTGGGGTACAGCATCATCACGAGGTGTCCCACAGTTCCCTAGCCCCACAGGGGACTCTGATCCCTGCCAGGTGTCTCCCTTGGTGTGGCCCTGATTGGTTTAAAGTCTACACATAATCACCCACCTGGCCCCAGGGCTCATAAAATCCACTGGGACTGAGACACCACTGTCACTGCTGCCACCGCTGTCACTGCTGCCGCTGGGGAGCTGCCACTGCTGCCGCTGGGGAGCTGCCACTGCTACCACTGGGGTGCTGCCACTGCTGCCACTGCTGCCCCTTCCTAGCTGGCACCATGGGCTCTGCTTCCTGCTTGACAAGGGCCCGGCGCCTGCTCCGCATCCGGAACCAGCTGATGCGGGAGTGCCTGGCCGAGCTAATCTCCACCTTTGTCCTCATTGTGAGCAGGGCTGGGCTGGGCTGTGGGGGGCAAACGGGTGGGCTGAGGCTGATGGAGGGGTCGTGTGGGTGGGATGGGACTGATGGCGGGGTGCTGGCATGGTGCCAGGGATGCCAGGGCTCCATTGCCCGCCCTTTGCTGGGGTCGGGGGTGTTCGGGGCTGCGCCACTCTTGAATGTGCAGCTCAGCACTGCCGGTCCTTCCACCTTGATCCCATTCCTGTGGCACAGCCTGCCCTGTGCCATGGCTCCGCTGCAATCACGGTGTGGCAGCACGAGCCACGATTCCTCCTGCCGCGGAGCAGGCAGAGTTTGGGGCTCTGGAGCTGCTCTTGGCATTTGGGCCGCATCCCATGATGACAAACGGTGCCCCCATGGCTGTGCCGTGGCACCTCTTCCCCACCACCTCCCCAGGGAAGCAGTTCACTTAATTGCTAATAATTTGACTGCTTTCCTGTCAAAACCACAAGTGAGAGCAGCAACCACCTCCCTGCCAGTGCCTGCCCAGTGTCCAAGGAGCAAAACCATGGAGGTGGCACCGGCACGGCCCTCGCCTCACCGGCCTGTGGTGTCAGTGGAGGGGGTGTCCAGCACAGGGCTGGTGGGGCTGAGGTGGGCACATCCCTCTTCTCCAGACAATCACCCTGGGTGGCGCCGCACAGAAGATCACCAGCGAAGAGACGAAGGGGAACCTCCTCACCAGCTACTTGGCGGGTGCCCTGGCTGTCATGGTGGGCATCTACATAGCCGGGGGAATCTCTGGTGAGGCTGAGGAGGAGGTACCAGCTCCTGCCATCCCCCAGTCCTGAGGCCCCCAGGACTCCTTCCTCCCAGCCCCTCTCCCTGCTCGGTTGCAGGGGCCCACATGAACCCGGCGTTCTCCCTCGTCATGTGCCTGACGGAGCAGTTCCCCTGGTGGAAGTTTCCCATCTTCTATCTCGTGGAGACCTTGGCATCTTTCCTAGCTTCTGGAGTTGTCTACATCCTCTACTATGGTATGGGAGGGCAGCACCAGGCTGGGGAACCCCATGGCGGCACCAGGCTGGCCAGGCTCGCGGACAGGCTCTGCCTCTGCCCCACAGATGCCATCTGGCACTACAGCAACGGCACCCTGACCGTGTCCGGCCCCCGGGAAACCGCCTCCATCTTCGCCACCTACCCAGCTGACTACGTGTCTGTCACCAACGGCTTCGTGGACCAGGCGGGTGCCACTGTCAGCTCCCCCAGCCCTCTCTGACGGTGCCAGTCCTCAGGGTGCTGAGCTGCCATGTCACCCCTGCAGGTGGTTGGCACTGGGGTGCTGATACTGGGCGTCATGGGCATCATGGACAACCGCAACAAAGGTGTCCCCAAGGGCCTAGAACCTGTGGTTGTGGCCATGCTGGTGCTCTCCATCGAATCCTCCATGGGCGCCAACTGTGGCTGCCCCCTAAACCCCGCGCGGGACATCGGGCCCCGGCTCTTTACCTACGTGGCAGGTTGGGGCCCGGAGGTCTTCAGGTAGGTAGAGGGAAGGGGGTGAGGTGAGGGTGGCAGGGGTGGCCCTCTGCTCACCCTACCCCATCCCCAGCAGGGGCAATGGGTGGTGGTGGGTGCCCTTGGTGGCACCGCTGGTGGGGGCCGCCGTGGGCACATACCTGTACCAGCTCTGCGTGGCTTTCCACTACCCGGAGGAGGACGGCGATGCCCTGGAAGAGCAGGGCTCCATCGTCCTGGTGAACAAAAACATTGAACTCGACACTGGGGTGTCATCCAAGGAGGACACTGGGGGGACAGTGCCTGCCGGGTACCCCCCGCCACCCAACACCAGCAGCACTGTCCCCACTGTCACTCCTGTCACACTATTAAACGAGTCTTGAGGTCATGGGGCGTCTCGTCTCTAGACGTGGGTGTGCAGGGGTATGGGGGCAGGGGGGGCAGGCCAGCCAGGCCCGGCTGCAGAGGGATCCCAGCCTGGGTGACACAAGCTGCTAATGAGGGGGTGTCCCAGTGGGACCCGGGGCTGCGTCCTGGTACCCCCTGTGGCTGCCTCTGGCCCTGCAGGAACCACCCGGCTCCCCGGGCCCCTCCGGAGCGGTCCCGCCGGCCGGGGCAACCGGGGGTTGTGCTCCGGGAACCCGGGGGTTGCGCTCCGGGAACCCGGGGGTTGCGCTCCGGGAACCCGGGGGCTGTGCTCCGGGAACCCGGGGGCTGTGCTCCGGGGCACCCGGGGTTTGTGCGCTGGAGCACCCCAGGGTTGTGATCCGGGACCCTCCGGGCCCGGCTCGGCCGCTCCCCCTCGCCCAGCCCCCGCACTTCCGCCGCCGCCCGGCGCCGCCGCGGCCATGGGGAGCTGAGGCGGCGGCAGCGGCACCGGCCCCGGCCCGGCCCGGCCGCCCGCCCGCTCCCCATGGGCTGCGGGGCCGCGGGACATGGAGCGGTGCGCGGCCCGTCGGGCCCCGGGTGAGCGGGGCCGGGGGTGCGGTGGGCCCGGGGAGGCCGCGGCGGGCCCGGGCGGGCCCCGGTAGGCCCCGGTGCGGCCGTTGCCCCGGTAACGCGGCGGGGCGGGCCGGGCCGGGCCGGGGCCGGGCCGGGGCCGTGCCATGACGGTACCCCGGGAGATGCCCGAGAAGTGGCCGCGGGTCCGCGCCCGCGGCGGGCCGGGTGGGTGCGGGATGGGCACGGCGGGGAAACAGGAATGGGGGCCGGGGGTGCAGGGATGGGGGCCGGGGCTGCGGCTGAGCGGGACTTGGCAGGTCTGGGGATGCAGATTCTGGGGCGCTAGGGGTGCAGGGCTGTGAATCCAGAGGTGCAGCTGAGCAGGCCTGGGTGTCTGGGGGAGCAGAGATGCGGTCTGGGGGTGCAGAATCTGGGTCTTCCTGGCCAAGGTTGTGGGGCTGCAGGTGAGCAGGGCTGGGGGTGCAGAGATGCGGCCTGGGCATGCAGGGCTGGAGGGGTCTGGCACCCTGGGGTGCCAAGCTGGAGGAGCAGACAAGCAAGACATGGGGGGTGCAGAATCAGGGGCTCTGGGGATGCAAATAAGCAGGGGTCTAGGAGTGCAGGCTTGGGGGACCTGGGGGTGCAGGTTGGGGGGGTGGGGAGTACAGATAAGCTGCACTGGGATTCTGCAGGTGCAGGGGTACAGGTCCTGGCATGGGGGAGCACAGGGCCACAGCTGGGGAGCTTCCCTGGTTCTGGGTCTCTGGGCCTGGCTTGGCAGGCTCTCAGGGTGCAGGGCTGGTTGGGGTGCAAGGGTGTCAGGGTGCAGGGGGGTTGGGGTGCAGGAGGTGTCAGAGTGCAGGGCTGGTCGGGGTTTAGGGGGTGTCAGGATGCACAGGGCTGATGGGGCGCTGTGTTGCAGAGGAGGAGCGGCGAGTGCGAGCCAATGCTCGGGAGTACAACGAGAAGTTCCAGTACGCGGTGAGTGAGAGGGGAGCTGAACCCCCTCCCAGGGGTGTTTGGGCAGCTTTGGGGGGGCTGGGGCCTGAGTCACCCATGGGTCAGTGAAGGGAGGTGTTAGGACAACAAAAATAGATGTCTGTCCCTGAGAAAATTGTGCTGATGACATGAATGGCAAGGGAGCTGTGGGGCTAGGGGGCACAGTGTGCTCTGTGTGAGGGGTTCAGCCCCTCATCCCTTATGGACCAGCTTCCAAAGGTGCTGGGGGAGGGACAGCACTCACCTTGGCCTCCCCCTAACGCTGGAGGTTATCCCTGGCTGTTCCAAGGCTGGTTACAGAGAGGGAGGCAGAGGGTCTGGGTTGGGGTCACCCTTGCAGGGTGACCTTGGCCTCCCCCTAACGCTGGAGGTTATCCCTGGCTGTTCCAAGGCTGGTTGCAGAGAGGGAGGCAGAGGGTCTGGGTTGGGGTCACCCTTGCAGGGCACCACTAGAGGGGGCTGGGCCCTGGCTGGTGACCAAGGCAGAGGAATCAGCTTCTCGAGGAAGGTGCCAGAGGTAGTGTAGGGAGTCCAGGCTGCTACCCAGAACCCCTCCAAGAGCACAGTGAGCCACAGCCCTGCCCTCCAGAGCAAGGCTGGGGGCTATGGGGCCTTGGCAGCCTATGTACCACCTTCTTGCCCCATCCATCCCCAGAGCAACTGCATCAAGACCTCAAAGTACAACATTGTCACCTTCCTGCCTGTCAACCTCTTTGAGCAGTTCCAGGAAGTAGCCAACACCTATTTCCTCTTCCTCCTCATCCTGCAGGTGAGTGCTGGGGGGCAGGCAGAACTCCCCACACTCTCCTTCCCTGCCTGGGCATCCAGGAGGGCTCCAGGCACTCCCACTCCTTGGAATAGTGGAGGTTTGGCACCCTTGAGCAGGGGCAGCGTGGGCCTGGGGCTGGGCAGTTCTCCTGTAATTCCTGCTCCCTGTCCCCAGCTGATCCCGCAGATCTCTTCACTCTCCTGGTTCACCACCATCGTGCCTTTGGTTCTTGTCTTAACCATCACAGCTGTCAAAGACGCCACTGATGACTATGTGAGTGGTTTCCCCTGTGCCCCTCTGTGCGCTGGGCAGGGAGCTGGGACTCTGGTGTGGCGGTGCAGTGCCCAGGGCCGTGGCATTTGTGAGAGCAGAGGGGAAGCGGGAGCCCGTCCCCAAGGAGCTGACACTGCTGTCTCTTCCCCCCACTTCCAGTTCCGCCATAAAAGTGACAACCAGGTGAACAACCGGCAGTCTCAGGTGCTGATCGGTGGAGTGTGAGTGTCACAGGGATGGGGCAGCGGGGAGGGGGCTGGGGCCCTGCAGGATGCACTACAGGGCAGTGGGCAGGACAGGCCTCCTGCCTGATTCCAGTCCGCTGTCCCTGCACAGCCTCCGGCAGGAGCCGTGGATGAATGTACGTGTTGGAGACATCATCAAGCTGGAGAATAACCAGTTTGTGGCGGTGAGTGCGAACCTGAGACGAGAACGGTCCCAGCTGGGTGGCATAAAGGGATTGCATAATGGGATGGTGCTGCACCCACTCTGCCTTTGTCCTTCTCCATCATCTCCTGGGTTGGGGACATCAGCAACTTCTCATCCTGGAAGCTGCGTTTAGGTTGGAGAGTCGGAGCTTTGCTTGAACTCCAGGTGCTTGGGGCAGTGATGGCCAAGGCCTGGGTGCAAAGGATGCATGGGGCTGGGGCCAGCCTTTGCAGAGGCTTCAGGGACCCTGCTGACATCCAGGGGCCAGGAGCTTCCCTGGGGAAGGTGTCGTGGAGCGCCGGTGTCGGCACAACCCTTCACATCTCTCCCAGCAGGCCGACCTCCTCCTCCTCTCCAGCAGCGAACCCCATGGGTTGTGCTACATAGAGACTGCAGAGCTGGATGGGTGGGTGCTCCTGCTCACCTTGTGGGGCTGGGGAAGGAGCTGGGAGTGAGAGACTGTGCTGTAGGCAGGGTGGGAGCTGCCAGGCAGCACCTGCCGAGGCCCTCCCTGTCAGGCTGTCCCTAATGTGGTGCCTCCTTGCTGGCAGAGAGACCAACATGAAGGTGCGCCAGGCCATTCCTGTCACCGTGGAGCTGGGGGACACCAGCAAACTGGCTCGCTTTGACGGTGAGTGCCCGTGACCAGCCCTCTGCCACGGGGCAGCCCCTTCCTCCACCACCCTGGAGAGACCTGGATATCAGCCACACAGCCTTGTCCTGCGGCTCCAAGTGGATCTCTGGGGAGCCAGGGGTGGTGCTGGGGCAGTGGGATGCAGCTGGCCATGTGAAGAAGGCAAGGCCCAGCTGAGCCATCCCCTGCACCTAGGCGAGGTGGTCTGTGAACCCCCCAACAACAAGCTTGACAAGTTTGGCGGGACGCTGTACTGGAAGGAGAACAAGTACCCCCTGAGCAACCAGAACATGCTGCTGCGGGGCTGCGTCCTGCGCAACACCGAGTGGTGCTTTGGCCTCGTCATCTTTGCAGGTAGGCTGAGGCAGCAGCTGCAGCTGCACTGCGCAGAGGGGAGGGAGAGACCCCCCTGATGCCTTCCTGCTCCCCAGGGCCCGACACGAAGCTGATGCAGAACAGTGGCCGGACCAAGTTTAAGCGGACGAGCATCGACCGGCTGATGAACACACTGGTGCTCTGGGTATGCAGAAGGCAGATCTTGGGAGCCCTGGCTCTGGCTCAGTCAGGGCTCTGATGTCCTGTCCTGCCCTATCTCCAGATTTTTGGGTTCCTGGTGTGCATGGGAGTGATCCTGGCCATTGGTAATGCCATCTGGGAGCACGAGGTGGGCTTCTGCTTCCAGATCTACTTGCCCTGGGACGAGGGGGTGCACAGTGCCTTCTTCTCTGGCTTCCTCTCCTTCTGGTCGTACATCATCATCCTCAACACTGTGGTGCCCATCTCACTCTATGTCAGGTAGGGCAGGGGCCGAGGGGCTGGGCTGGGGGTGTGTGAGGAATTAGGGGTGCCCTCTGGGGGGGGAACACAGGGGTGGAGACCCACAGGCAGAGCCGTGTGCGTGGGGTGGGTGTGGCTGCTCTCTTGCTGACAGGTCATGTCTGCCTTCAGGGACGCCCCAAGACCTGAGACCCCACGGGTCCCTCAGGGTCCTCCTGGCTGTGTGTGTCTGGCTGCTCGTCTCTCTCTGCCCTGGCTGCATGCTGGTTATTTTGCTCTGCCCTCCTACAGCTCCCAGGCTCCTGTACTGTCCCCTTCTCTCTCTCTTTTAATTTCTCTCTCTTTTCGTTCCCCAGCATGGGTTCTGTCACCCTTAGCCCCGAGGTAAGAACGTGTCGCCCCCACCCCTCCCACTAGCTCATTGCTGTCTGCCCTGGGGGCTGGGGAGGGCGTTCGGGGTGTGTAGGTATGTGAGGTGCCTGGGGAGCCCAATGGGCTGCCACCTTGGTGCCAGGCCCCGGCTTGGCAGTGGCTGTTGGTAGGAGTGGGTGCGGGCCAGC